ACAAACACCACTCCTTTCTAGCACTGATGATGTTACCTAGTTGGGTAATGAAACATCTGCAAGAAAACAACCAAGCTCAGAGAGCACCAAGGACCCCTCAGTGGTTAACCAGTTCAACAGAATACTGGCTTTCAAACCTTTCTCAAAAAAAAAAGAAAAAGATTCGTTCTGATTTCCACCCCCAAGTAATTTCCTTTAATGAGCTGCAGGCCCAGTGCTAATTGGGAGGGGCCACATCAGTGGCTCCAAATTTCACCCATTAAATTTTGTCCAAATTTTTCTGATCCATCAAATCGAGCCCATTACCAGTAATCCTTGACATACGACCACCACTGCGCCCCAAATTTCCATGGCTGAGCGAGACAGCCTTTAAGTGAGTTTTGCCCCATTTTACGACCTGTTAAAGGAAATCGATGCAGTTCTGAAGTGAGTAACCCGGCTGTTAAGTGAATCCGTTGACTTTGCTTGTCAGAAGGTCGCCAAAGGGGATCATATGACCCCAGGACACTGCAACCGTCATAAGTGTGAATCAATTGCCAAGCATCTGAATTTTGATCTTGTGACCATGGGGGATGCTGTAAGGGTGGTAACTGTGAAAAACAGTCGTAAGTCTGAGATGGAGCCGAATTTTCCTTCCAGCATTAATCTGGCATTTAAATTTTTCTAAAATGGCTGAATCCTGTTCGGGGGAAGGTGCTCCTCTCCGTTACAAAGCCGAAGAAGAGCCAGCGCCGTCCGAAGACGTCTCCGTGGTCATGTGGCTGGCGTGGCTAAATGCCGAAGGCGCACGGAACACTGTTCCCTTCCCACCAAAGGCGGTGCCTATTTTTCTACTTGCACTTTTTACGTGCTTTTGAACTGCCAGGTTGGCAGAAGCTGGGACAAGGAACGGGAGCTCGCTCCGTTATGTGGCGCGCTGGGGATTCAAACCGCCGAACTGCTGGCCTTTTCTGATCGACAAGCTCAGCATCTTAGCTGTTGACCCACTGAGCCACTTTCTCTCTCTCTCACACACACACATATAATGTGTATTGCCATTATGTTTATTTTCCTTGTTCTTCCATCATTTATTTTATTTATTAACTTTTTTTTTTATTGTAACTTTATCATTTTTATAAATAACTCAAGGTGACCAATGCTCAAAATCCTCCTTCCTTCTCTTATTTTCCTCACAACGGCAACTCTGTGAGGTGGGTTGGGACGAGCCAGAGAGTGACTGGCCCAAAGTCACCCAGCTGACTTTCATATGGAAAGTGGGACTAGAACTCACCCTCTCCTGGTAAACGGCCCAAAGTCACCCAGCAGGGCTTCATACCTAAGGCAGAACTAGAACTCACTGCCTCCTGGTGATTAGCCCAAAGTCACCCAACTGACTATCCTGCCTAAGGTGGGATTATAACTCCCTCCCTCCTGATAACTGGTCACCTACCCGTCTTACATGCCTAAGATGGGACTAGAACTCACGTCTCCTAGTGATGGGCCCGAAGTCCTTCCCTTTCAGAATCTTCATACAATGATTAGATTTAACAAACCCAGAATTAACCTTCAACCTTAGGGTCTTCTATTTATACCTTCCTTTGAAGAACGACTTTATCCAGCTTTTCCCCCTAAGGCAGAGGTCCCCCGATCCCCGGGGCCACAGATCACTACTTTGAGGTGAACCTTTTGCAGGAGGGCTGAATGTCAGCCTCTCCAAGACGTCTTCCTGACATCTTTTATGGCTTGACTCTTTGCCGGATGCCATGGAAACCGGGGACGGGGGGGGGGGAGGAATAATTGGGCTTTGTGGGGGGAAGGATGCTGGAGGTCAAAGTTGGGTGAACTGCAAAAGATGGACGCTTTCCTGCTTTCTGCGCAACTGCATCAAAATTCTAGGCCAAGGTCAACCGTCTTGGCATACCAGGTGTGTGAGACGCCACCTGAAGACAACATTATACACACCTCAGATTGGATGTCCACTTTGAACTGTTGGGGGAGGGGACTTGGGATAACTTTCAATACGTAATTTCTGCGCCGATTTGCCTCAGGACTTACTTTCCTTTTGTTGCTATCCCTTCAAATCCAGTAAATGTGCTTTTCTCTATTTTAATGGAGTCTTAAAGGTTTTCTTTCTTGGATTTTGAATGGAGGCACAGCTGACACATTTGGAATTGGGCCACGGAACCGGCGGTTGAAACTTCCCCCTCACATCCTCACTTATGAGCGAGCCTGTGTGTGCTATTCGTGCAAATAAGAGTGGCGTGCACACACATTTGCAGGCATGATATTCCCCTCTGAAAAAAAAATCGGGGCCGGCCAAAAGAGACCCCCTACCACGCGCCAAGAAATTGCACACACAACACCAACGCTACACACCCTTCCTTTCCAGCCGGTCAGGTGTGGATCAGCTCCGGAGCTGGGCAGCCGTTTCCCTGGTGGTGGGGCCAAGGCCGCCGCCCGGGGAGCGCCCGCTGCTTTCCCTCGCCAGGGCCGGGCGGTGGCGTGTTGCACCGAGGCTGGTCTGTGGCTGCCCAGCTCCCTTTTCCTGCTGCTCAGCGGCCTCCGCTCGCACTGCCCGGGCTCCGCTCAGGTATCCGGCTGGGGCTGTCAGGAGTTGCTACCGCCGGCGCGGCTCCAGTCCCGCGTTGCCTCGGGAAGGGAAAGGCAAAACCGGGAGCCGCTGCTGCTGTTGCAAAGCGCCGCCGCGGCTCTTCCTTTTTGCCTTTCCCTTCCCGAGGCAACGCGGGACTGGAGCCGCGCGGAGCCGCGCCAGCGGTAGCAACACCTGACTCGGGGCCTCCGAGGGGAGGGGAAGGAGGAGAAGAAGGGGTGGGGGGAAAGGGTGGGGTGGGCGATTCCCAAGAAAATAGGAATTCTGATTTTAATCGGAAGAATATCATGTCTGATTTGCCGGCCGCTCGTGTGAAACCATCCTCTATCTCCCTCTCTCTCCCCCGCTGGCCAGTCCACAAAGCCGGAAAGTTTGGGGAACTCTGCTCCGAGGATGTCGTACCCCAGTTCAATTAAGAAAAACTTTAAAAAAGGACTTCCAGGAAGAAGCTGTCGAAATGGGCTGGGCTTACCTTGCAGGAGGGTGTAGTAGGCCCCTGACGCTGAAAGGTTGGTGGTGATCGTGACGTCGTCCTTGCTGGAGGTCTCAATCTGGACGTGGATGGAGCTGTCCGTATCGCTCCGGAAAGTGGTGACTTGACCGGTTGGGAAAGTGATGTTAGTGAGGTGTCCAAAGCTGTCATACCTGGGAAAGAAAAGAGACGTACGGACAGAAATTAAAGTGCAAGAACGGAGAGAGATAAACCGAGGGGAATCTCCTAGGCCGGTGATGGCGGACCTTTTAGACACCGAGTGCCCAAAGTGCGCGTGCATTCCTGCCCAAACTGGCTCCTGCCCCGCCTGCGCTTGTACTCCAGCGCATGCACGGCAGAGACCCGAAAACCAGCTGGTCAGAGGGAGGCCAGCGCATGCGCTGCAGAGACCCGAATCGGAACTTCTGTTTTCCTGCAAACGACGGAGAGAAGCGCCACAGAGAAACACGGTAGAGCTGAGCTGGGGCGATGGGAGCGCCATCACTTGAGACTTTCAAGAAGAGATTGGACTGCCATTTGTCAGAAATGGTGTAGGGTCTCCCGCTTGGGCGGGGGGTTGGACTAGATGACCTACAAGGTCCCTTCCAACTCTGATTATCTGTTATCTATGCTCACAGAGAGGGCTTTGCGTGCCACCATTGGCACTCATGCCACAGATTCGCCACCACTGTCCTAGGCCAAAGCATCAGATCTTTGGTCAAGGCGGCAGGACATCCCACTGATTTTTAAAAAAGAGGTCCACTCTTGTTATGAACCATTTTGACATTTCTAAGACTTGTGGGGGGAACGGCTTGTGCCATTTAGGGGGAGGCGTTTCACCTCTGCTGTGTGCCCGTGGCTTCCTTTGGTGGAGAGAAGGTTGCGCAGCTCGCTCCGTTACTCAGCGCTAGGGATTCAAACTGCCGAACCGCCAACCTCTCTGATTGACAAGCTCAGCGTCTTAGCCGCTGAGCCATTGCGTCCAAATACTCACTCGTAAAATGTGGTCCACCCGTTTTCATTGCTCTTGGTAGCTAGGAGTCCCGAGTTGCCATGATAGGTCATCATGGCTACCTCTTGGCCCTGCGCAGTCACACTCTTGAGGGCGCTGTTGGTGCCCATCGTGAGCCAATAGACCTGGCCATCTGGCACCACCAGCCACAGTGGCATCCCGGTCGAATCTCTCCGGATATTAACCAAATTTCCATTGTTGTCAGTCACGAGGGCGATGTCTCCATCGCCCGTGTAGGTGAAATTGTACAGGTAATCTCCAGTCGGGAGGCTCTGGGTGAAAACGTGCTTGCCACTGGCATCAAACAGGTAGAGTTCCTGATCGATGGGCGAGGATAATTCGTACAGGTTCTGGGTGTTGAGAAAAGGCTTGTTCTTCCGGATAAAACGGATCCGGATGTTCCCAAGATCGGCCATGTACAACTCCCCGTCTGCGCATACCGCGAGGGAGGAAGGCGCATTCAGCTTGGCGTCCTTGGCATAGCCATCGTCCCCGGAGAAGCAATCGCAGTTGGCGTCGTTCTTACAATCGCAGCCGTTGGGGGCTCCGGCGACCAGCGAAATCTCGCCGTTCGTAGTGACCTGTCGTATCCGGTTGATCTTCTTCTCATCGGTCTCCGCGATGTATAGGACACCGCTGTGCGAGACCGCCACTGCTGTGGCGGATTCCAAGGTGGCGTGGATGGCTACCTTGCTCAGGAGGAAGTGGTCGATCCCTGGGACTTGGCAGTGCATTGGCCGGCCCGCCACGATGCGCACCTGGTGGTTTTCGGAGATCTGCAACACGACGTTGTTGTCCAGAACGTAGAGGGAATTGTCCATTGGGTTGACGGCCAGGTCGGTGGGCCACTCCAAACGAACCTTTGCAAAATGAAAGGAAGAAAAGCGACGGGGTGAGATTGTTTTATTATTTTTCAGTTACTGGTAGTCCTCGATTTACAACCATAATCGGGACCAGAATATGCTAAGCAAGGTTGCAAAGTGGGTTGCACTCTGGATGTAATTCTGCCAGGGGTGGGCTTCAAAAATTTTAGCAACGGGTTTTCTGTCCAGTTGCTGGGTGGGCGTGGCCAAGGTGGCCTCCTGCACCGCAGCAGGAAGGACATTTTTGCCTTCCCCGGGCTCCGGAGGCTTTCCTCGAGCCTCTGGGAGGGCAAAAACTGTCTCCCTGGGCTTCGGAGGCCCTCTGGAAACTGGAAATAGGCCCGTTTCAGGCCTTCCTGAACTTCTGGGCGGCCTGTTTTTCGCTCTCCCTGAACCTCAGTGCGCACCCTGCACTTACCTGCATCCAAAATGGGCCACGTGGTCACTCCTGGGAGTGGCGGGGAGTGGCCAGCCAGGAGTGGGATTTGGAGGTTCTCCAAACTGTGCAGACTCTTAGCTAGGGTTTCCCCCAAACCCTTGCAAACCCCCAGTAGGCCCACCCCTGAATTCTGCCCACTTGGTCGTATTCCATTCTTTCTTTGGATCCTAGCTATATGCCCCGCTGAGGAATAGGTGGTGTTCACCACATTCAGATGACTGCTAGGAGACCAGAGCATAGGCCGGCCCACCTGGTCGTAGAGAATGTGCAGATTGAATTTCTTTCTTTCTTTCTTTCTTTCTTTCTTTCTTTCTTTCTTTCTTTCTTCCTTCCTTCCTTCCTTCCTTCCTTCCTTCCTTCCTTCCCTCCCCTTTCTTTCTTTCCTTTCTTTTCCCTTCCCCTCCTCCCCTTCCTTCTGCTTCCCTTCCTTTTCCCTTAAATCACAATGACTTTTTTCCAGTCGCAAGTATGGTTGTAAGTTGAGGAGCCCTTATAATGTAATATAATTTAATGTAATGCAATGCAATATAACATAACATTATTGTGCAATGTAACGTAATATTATGTTAATGTTATGACTATGGAGATTCTCAATCATCCAGGTCATAGTTGTCCCAAAGGTGCTTTTTCAAGAGGCAACTGGGAAAAAAGTATATGTTTATTCTATTCCTATTCCTATTCCATTCCATTCTATTCTATATTCTATTCTATTATTATTTCATATTATTATATAACATCCTATTATATATTGGACATATATGATACAAGATATGATATCTAATCTAACCTAATTTAAACTGTTAATATATAATGTAATGTAATATAATACCATGTAATGCAATACAATAATGCAATGTAACGCAATATAGGATAATATAAGGTAACATATCATCTATGTTAAATTTCCAAGAGGGTTTGCTGATAACCTTTGAAATTTAGTCACTGGCTGCTGGAAGAAACTCTGAATGCAAATAAAAAAAATTTCCTGGGATTTGACGATAATGTACTGAGCCACTATGGGATTTTTGCTCAAGGTCAAGTCATTATTTGGACAAAGACAAAATGTTCTTTGTTCTTAATCATGTTTTCATGATTAATGAAATCAGCAGTTTTAGTAAAAAAAAAAAAAAAAAAAAAGCCCAAAACCTTCCCAAAGGATTGGTGGGGGTAGACTTCATAATTTGTAAGATATTCTGAATAAACAGAATTAACAGAGTTTGGAAGGGACCTTGGAGGTCTTCTAGTCCAACCCCTATAAAAGACTCAGCTAAGTTCTGTGGCATTGATTGATTGACTTATTGGTTGATTGACTGATGTCAAGTCAGTGTCATTTCTTAAGTGACCACCGAGGTAACCTTTCACCAAGAAAGGAGAAAAAAGGCTTATGTAAAACAACATTCTGAATAAACAGAATTAACAGAGTTGGAAGGGACCTTGGAGGTCCTCTACTCCAACCCTTATACCAATTCAAATAAATGTTTGTCCAATCTCTTCTTAAAAACCTCCAGTGATGGAGCATCCTCAACTTCTGGAGGCAAGTTGTTCCACTGATTAATTTCCCCACAGCCAGTAAATTCCTCCTTAATTCCAGATGGCTTCTCTCCTTGATAAATTTCCACCCGTTGCTTCTTGTCCTGCCTTCTGGTGCTTTGGAGAATAGTTTGACTCCCTCTTCTTTGGGGCAGCCCCTCAGATGTTGAAACTCTGCTATCATGTCACCCCTAGTCCTTCTTTTCATTAAACCAGGCCTAACCCAATTCTAGCAACTGTTCTTCGTATGTTTTAGCCCCCAGACCCCTAATCCTCTTTGTTGCTCTTCTCTGCACTCTTTCTGGAGCCTGGTGGGTTTTGTGTGTGTGTGGGGGGGGAAAGGACATTATTTGAAAGCAGGAAAAGGGGATAATTGGATCAAACAGTTTAAGGACCACAGCTCTATCCTGTCCAGATATTCTATCTTCGGCCAGAAAGAAGAAGGGGGGTTAACCTATTGTCCGAAGCACCAGAAGGCAGATCAAGAAGCAAAGAAAGGAAACTAATCAAGGAGAGAAGCAACCTAGAACTAAGGAGAAATCTTCTAACTGCTAGAACAATTAATCAGTGGAACGACTTCCTTCCAGAAATTATGGGTGCTCCACAGGGGGGGGATTTCAAAATTTTAGCAACCAGTTCTTTGCCAAGTTGCTGGGTGGGTGTGACCATGGCCTAGTCGGCCTCCTGCAACATGGCGGGGGGGGCATTTTCACCCTCCCCGGGCTTGCTCTGGAGGCCCTCCAAAGGCCAGAAATGGGCCTGTTTCTAGACTTCTGGAAGGCCTGGTTTTTTTTCACCCTCCCCAGGCTCCAGAGGCTTTCTCTGAGCCTCCGGGAGGGTGAAAACAGCCTCTCCCAGGCTCCGGAGGCTCTCCAGAGGCCGAAATGGGCCCATTTCTAGCCTTCCGGAACTTCCGAGATGGCTGTTTTTCACCCTCCCCAGGCTCCGGAGGCTTTCCTCAAACCTCCGGGAGGGTGAAAACAGTCTCCCCCAGGCTCCGGAGGCTCTCTAGAGGCTGGAAACAGGCCCATTTCCAGCCTTCCAGAACTTCTGGGAGGCCTGTTTTTCGCCCTCCCCAGACTCCAGAGGCTTTCTTCGAGCCTCCAGGAGGGCGAAAACGGCCTCTCCCGGGCTCCAGAGGCCAAAAATGGGCCCATTTCTGGCCTTCTGAGCCTCTGGAAGGCCCATTTTTCTCCCTTCCCAAGCCTCCACGTGGGCCCTGTACTTACCTAGGATCCAAAATGTTCGCGTGGGGACTCCTGGGAGGGGTGGGGCAGGGGCAGCAGGTCATCAGAACTACCGGTTCCGTGAACCAGATGTAAAATTATCATCCAGTTCACTCAAACCGGTCCAAACCGGCTGAATCCCATCCCTGGTGCTCCACCACTGGAGGTTTTTAAGACGAGATTGGGCAGCCATTTTGTCTGGAATGGTATAGGGTTATCTGCTTGAGCAGGGGGTTGGACTAGAAGACCTCCAAGGTCCCTCCCAACTCTGTTATACCTACAAAGGAACATCTGGCATGTGACCTCATCCACAGTCTTGGTCCTGAGCCAACTAGATGAGGATTTTCCCTTTAACCAGCCAATTAAACAAAAGCCAAGTAATTTACAGATGAAGTCTCCTTTGAATCAAACTCAGCTCCTGGGTCTTCATGAAGATACCTGTGCAGTTTCCTTGGCAACAACACATCGCTGGCCTTTTTCTGGGATAGCTTTCAATTTCCTTTACCTTGAAAGTCAAATACTTTTTGGGAGGGGAAGAAAACCCCTTCCTCTTTCTGTTCGCCCCCATGACATCATCCTGTCAAGATATTCCTTTGGGTGGGGATTTAAATCCAATCAAAATGTGTTTCTGGCTTTTGTTTCTTTCGCTTCTGGCTCTGCAACTCCTACTTTCCAAGAAGAGCAATTACTAATTAACCCCATTCTTCCATTTGGGGCGATTCTACATTTTAGCCAATGGAAAGTGAATGCCCCACACACCAGGAACACGCACCCCCCTCTTGATTTTTCTAAAGACGCTCAGGAGCTGTTGAAGGCTTAAAAAGATACACTACAAATTGCTCCTTTCCTGGAAGCCTTAATGGGTCCCAGTGAATCAAGAGTACTGAGGGAAGCGAATTATTTGTTGCTCAGGGTTGAACTGTGTGGCTCTTGGGGCTCTCTGAGCTTGGGAGGTTTTTCACGCAGAGGTTTCGTTACCACATAGTGCCCTGATGATGTTACCTAGTTTGGTAAATGAGGTCCTGTGAGGTGGATTGGGCTGAGAGAGGGTGACTGGCCCAAAGTTACCCAGCTGGCTTTCATGGCTAACTTTGAACTAGAATTCACCGTCTCCTAATGTGTGGTCCAAAGTAACCGAGGTGGTTATTACGCCGAAGACAGGACTAGAACTCACTATCTCCTGGTGATTAGCCCAAAGTTATCCAGCTGGTTTTCATGGTTAATATGGAACTAGAATTCACCGTCTCCTGCTAAGTGGCCCAAAGTCACCCAGTTGACTATCATATCATGCCTAAAGGTGGGACTAGAACTCCCAATCTCACAGGGATTGGTCCAGAGTCACCCAGTTGGCTATCATGCCTAAAGATGGGACTAGAACTCCCAATCTCACAGGGATTGGTCCAGAGTCACCCAGTTGGCTATCATGCCTAAAGGTGGGACTAGAACTCCTCATCTCACAGGGATTGGTCCAGAGTCACCCAGTTGGCTATCATGGGACCCAAAGTCACCTAGCCAACTTTCATGCCTAAGGGGGACTTGAACTCATGATCTTCCATTTTCTATGCTGCTGCTTTAAGCTTTACACCAAGCTGGCTCTCCTTTAATATTATAATGTTTAAGAAACTAAAATAAAATAATAAAAACAAAATGTAGCTTGACCGTATTTCTGCAAGCCTTTCCTTTTCCTCTTCATGCCCCCTGTAATCCCTTGCATTGGGGTGGAGTCGGAGGTGAATGAATGGAGCTGTGCATTTACTGGCCGATTCCCTTCCAGACGCCTACGTGGAGCTCACAGCAAATATTTTCTCTTTGCGCCCAGAGATAGAAATATCTGCCTCTACCTAGGATCGAAATCGGAGCCTCTTGATTTTGCAGCCCACCGTATTCTGTTAAGCCTATCTTAGAAAATTCCAGAGTGACCCCAGAAGAGACATTAAAAAAAAAATCCCGCATCCAAGTTTGCATCAGCCGTTTCTTGGCTGAACAGCAAAGGTGCATGTGCCGATGCAGAATTAGCCATTCTTTGCTTCAAAGTCTGCAAAGCAAGTGACCTTCGTAGCCCTGTCATTTTTATCGAGCTCGTAAATGGCAGGCAGTGGGGAAGCCAAGCAATCTTTTCAAATTAGAGGAAGAAAGAACCAGAGAAGAATAAAGGCCAGGTGGACAAGAGTGAATTATACGGGTGGTTAAAAAAATGGAAGGCTCCCCACTGGGTTCTATTGTGCCTAAGGAACAGCATTCAAGAGAACCAGCCAATCACCGTTTTTAGCAGAACAAAGAACATTTCATCGAACAATTTCAATAATAAGGTCGCGCATATTTGTATTTAGAAGTCATGGCTTCAGAATGGTATCCCAATTGGATATAATGCCTGTCTTCAATTCCTAAACTTTAGGCAACCTCAGGTATGTCTGTCTCAGCCTGGAAATTCAGTTTTTAAATATAAATATAAATATATATATATATAGGTTTTAAAAAGCCGTCTTCAACAGTGGGAGTTTAAAAAGCTCAGCGTGACAGCACTCGCTCGCAATCCATTTGCAATCAAATGCAATTCAAAATCCGCCATTTTCCTGCTGTTGATAATTCGGGCAACCATTTGCGAGATATTGGATTGAACTTGTTCCCCCAAATCCACGGTGTCTTCGATGTAAAGCAAAATTGCATTCATTGTGAGCCCATGAACTGCACCAGTAAATAAAACTGGGGGGGGGGGGGAATAGAACTGGAACATGTGACAATATATACTTATAATATATCCACATTTGAATTTATATTTTAGAATGTAATAGAATTCTTCATTGGCCAAGTGTGATTGGACACACAAGGAATTTGTCTCTGGTACATAACCTCTCAGTGTACATGCAAAAACAACAAAGTGATAAGCTATAGATTATATATGATTATATGTTAAATATAAATTATATTTAACAAGAATAACAGAGTTGGAAGGGACCTTGGAGGTCTTCAAGTCCAACCCCAAAAACTTCCAATGTTGGAGCATTCACAATTTCTGGAGGCAAGTTGTTTCACTTATTAATTGTTCTAACTGTCAGGAAATTCCTGCTTAGTTCTAGGTTGCTTCTCTCCTTGATTAATTTCCACCTATTGCTTCTTGTCCTGCCTTCAGGTGCTTTGGAGAATAGCCTGACTCTCTCTTCTTTGTGGCAGCCCCTCAAATATTGGAACATTGTTTATATTTATAAGAATAATAATAAATCCACAGTTATAATAACACCGTAGTTGGAATACTGCATCCAGTTCCAGTCACCAGGTAAAAAGAGATGTTGAAACCTTAGAAAGGGTGCAGACATAAGCAACAAAGGTGATTAGGATAAAATGCATGATGAATGGCTTAAGGCAGGGGTCCCCAACCATCGGTCCGCGGACCGGTACCGGTCCGCGGAACAACTCCTACCGGGCCGCGGCTTGCTGGGCGCCGCCATCTTTTTTTCATGAAAAAGTGCTTCCGGTGAGCTTTTCCGGGTAGAAAGCTCACCGGAAGCACTTTTTCATCAAAAAAAGATGGCGGCGCCCAGCTGATGCCGGTACCGGGCCGCGGCGCCCAGCTGATGCCGGCACCGGGCCGCGGCGTCAAAAAGGTTGGGGATCACTGGCTTAAGGGAACTACGTATGTGTAGTCTAACAAAGAGAAGGCTTAGAGGAGACTTCATAACTTCTTCTAATATTTAAGGGGCTGCCACAAAGAAGAGGGGGTCAATCTATTTTCCAAAGCACCTGAAGGCAGGACAAAGAAGCAACAGATGGAAACTAACTTAAGGAGAGAAACAAGCTAGAAATAAAGGAGAAATTTACTGACAGTGAGAACGATTAATCAGTGGAATTGGCTTATCTTGAGAAGTTGTGGCTGCTCCATCACTGGAAGTTTTTAAGAAGAGACTGCACAGCCATTGGTTTGGAATGGTAGGGTCTCCTGCTTGAGAAGGGGGTTGGACTAGAAGACCTCCAAGGTCCCTTTCCTTTCAATGCTTTTAGTGAATCTGGCTTTCCCATTGAGTTTGCTCGTCAAAAATGCGAGGACTGGTCATAAGTCACTGTTACTTTGAACAGTCAGTAAATGAATGGCTGTGAGTTGAGGACCTGATCTGTCAAAGGTATTGTGTATTCCAAAAGATAATGTTGGCTTAGACGTGACCAGGAGAACAAGATATCCCAAATCTTGAAAGAACATGTCAGATAATGCCAGGAATCCAAGGAAAAATCAAGGCATCTAAAGATTTATGCAGAGAAAGTTGATAATTCAGTTTATAGGGAGAAGTACCAGACAGAATGTCACTTTTTCAAAAGGCACCTGGATTTTGCTTTTCCTTGAAGACGTTTCACTTCTGATCCAAGAGGCTTCTTCAGTTCTGACTGAAGCTTCTTGAACAAGAAGCGAAATGTCTTCAAGGAAAGACAAAGCAAGCCCAGTTGTCTTTTTAAAAAAAGCACCTTGGGGACGACCATGACAAAGTAGACCACAACCTACCTCTTGGTAAGCTAGAAAAATGTGGAATAGATAGCATCACCACCAGATGGACTCGCAACTGGCTGACAAACCGTACTCAACGAGTAGTCCTTAATGGGGCTAAGTCTTCATGGAGGGAAGTAAGCAGTGGGGTGCCACGAGGTTCTGTCTTAGGCCCAGTACTCTTCAATATCTTCATTAACGACTTAGATGAGGGAATAGAAGGAGAACTTACCAAATTTGCAGATGATACTAAGCTGGCAGGAATAGCCAACACCCAAGAAGATAGGCTCAAGATCCAGATGGATCTTGACAGACTAGAACACTGGGTAGTATCTAACAAAATAAAATTCAATGTAGAGAAAAGTAAAGTCTTATACTTAGGCAAGAAAAATCAAAAGTACACATACAGGACTGGGTGAAACCAGGCTCAATAGCAGTAACGATGAGAGGGATCTTGGAGTCTCAGTGGACAACCAGGAGCCAGCCGTGTGCAGCAGCAGCCAAAAAAGCTAATGCAATCCTAAGTTGCATTAACAGAGGGATACAATCGAGATCAAGGGAGGTACTAATACCACTCTGTAAAGCCTCAGTAAGACCACACCTAGAGTACTGTATCCAGTTTTGGTTACGACATTATAAAAAAGATGTTGAGACTCTAGAAAAAGTGCAGAGAAGAGCAACCAGGATGATCAGGGGACTGGAGGCTAAAACATACGATGAACGGTTGCAGGAACTGGGCCTGGCTAGTCTAGTGAAGAGAAGGACCAGGGGAGACATGATAGCATCTTCTAATGTTTGAGGGGCTGCCACAGAGAGGAAGGAGTCAAGCTATTTTCCAAAGCTCCTGAAGGCCAGACAAGGAACAATGGATGGAGACTGAATAAGGGGAGATTCAACCTGGAAATAAGGAGAAATTTTCTGACAGTGAGAACAATCAACCCATGGAACAGAAGCTTCCCTCGGAAGTTGTGGGAGTGCCATCAATTGAAACTTTCAAGAAGAGATTGGACTGCCATCTGTCAGAAATGATGTAGGGTCTCCCGCTTGAGCAGGGGGGGTTGGACTAGATGACCTACAAGGTCCCTTCCAACTGATTATCTGTTATCTGTAATGGATAATTGAGAATCTCCACAGACATGTACCAAGTAGTAGCAAATATAATTCAAGGAAAAAAGACATTTCCACCATGAGAAGGAATACAGAAGGGGAAAAAGAAGATATAGAGAAAAAAGGTTACCACGAAACACCTATACCTACTTGAGAGATATCCATGACTGAGTCACAGCTCAGCGGTCTGGTGGACGTCAGGTCATTAGAACCAAGGACCGTTGAGATTATTCCATTTTGGTCCACACGTCGGATCATTGTACCGTCCACAAAATAAATAAACCCAAACTTGTCCACCGTGATGCCTGTGACAAGGAAACAAACTCAAGTTAACAACTTAGCCAAGCAATGCCTGGATATTAAAACTATTTGTTTTGTTGGGTCCCTGGTGCTCCCTGAACGTGGCGGTTTTCCTGCAGACGTTTCATAACCCAACTAGGTAACATCACCAGTGTAGCAGGGAGTAGGGTTCGCTCTCTGGTTGTATATTACTGGTTTGTCCTTTCAGTGTTGGTGGGAGTGTTTTTGAGGGTTCCTTGACTAGCTTGTTGTTTACTGTTTGTTTGTTAAATGATACCCGATTAAGGAGCTACTAACTTCAATAAAGACTAGCGAACTCAAGCAAATCAGAATTCTGAGGCTAAGCTCTGCCTTTAAGAACTCCTTTATTGGGTACATCATATTGGTACACTCACATGGAAAAGCAACTCTAAAGGTTTCCCGTGGTTTCAGTATAATTAAAATAGGAAATAACTCCCTCCCCAAAAGTCAAAGGTTACGTTGGCCAATTAGGTTAATTGGCGGGCTCTCCAGGCACTCCTCCCCATTTCTATCCACCACCTGTACAGATGACCTTGGTTCTCAGGAGACAGTTCTGTGTTTTGTCTAGTATTTCATCCTCCTTTCCCCCCACTCCGGGTGGCAACTGAGGAATAGAAAAACGGCTTATGCCAAGTTCGATTCAAAGTTGACGGTAAGCTGTTCGTAATCAGGGAGCAACTGCAGTAAGTGGTCATTGTTATTTAGCTGTCTCATTCTAAAAAAAGGAGAATGCCAGGGTTCCGACGGATCGGCTGCCCTAATTAATTCATGAGCCAAATTTCAAAAGAAATCCAACTATTTATTAGGAGCAACATGTTGGCACTTTCCCAAATGCAGTTGGCTCTGCCCCACGTAATTTACTGCCCACCTATGACCCTATTTCCCCTCTCCTCCCAGGGTGTGTCATAAATCACATTCTCCAATGGAGCACTTTTTGTGGGCTGCAGAAAACAGGCCTCTCCGGCGTCTTTTCTAGTAACCTGGGGTACAATCTGGAGAAAGGTATGTGTGGAATGTGCTTCTGGTCATAGCAACCGAGCTTCTCTATCAATTCTCCCACCCACCCCCGCCCCCCTTGCCTATGGCAGGCCAGGAATTCTTTACGAGTTGACAGAGAATATTTGTAAGTCGTGGGGTTTGCATGGTGACGTCATGGCACATATGGCACACCCCTCATCGATGCTCATGGACAGACGTCCTTAAGAACCGTTGTAACTTCAAATGGTCACTAAATGAATAGTTGTAAGTCGAGAGTTACCTGTATTAAAACAGTCCTGTCAGGGCTCTCAAAGTTGGCTAGCTGTCAGGGTTCCGGTAATTACCCCCATTTAAATCATGAGTCTCTAGCCAGATTTTCAAAGCTTAAAAGAAGATTTATTAGGAGTAAACATGCCAGTGCTACTTGAGTGCAGCCGACTCTGAGGCACATCATTCATTGTCACCCTTGACCCTGGTTTTCCCTCCACCCCCCTGGGTGCATCGTAATTTATATTCTCCAATGGGACGCATCCATAGCTAAGAGTCATCAGTCATACTCTCCAGTTAGAATTTTGCGAGGCAGAAACTTCGGTCACCTAGAAACTATCTATGGAAACATTTATGGAATGCACTTTCGGTTTTGCAAGCTGCTGCACCGCTCCCCCTTCCCTTTTTGCTGGCAACTCCAAAAGACCAGAGAAATATTTTATGAGTTGACGAGTCTCTCTTACCCCTGGGGCTTGTTAGGGTGGCTTCGGTTGCTTTCCCTCCATCTCCGCAGTGGGTGTCATCGAACGGAAGGCATTGGTCTCCTGTCCCGGCTACCACTTCCGAGTTCTTCACAACGTCCTTGATCACTGTCGTTGACTTGATCTTGAAGATGCGACGGCTGCTGGTATCCGAGAGGTAGATGGATCCAGAGGTGGGGTCGGCGGTCAGGTAATATTTATGAGCTGGGCTGTGACTGCAAAAATTGAGGGCAGAAAGGACCCCGTTTATCTCTTGCACAACCCCCAAATCAAGATACTTAATTGTGTATCACAGCACTGCGAAGTCCCCAAAGCCAATGTAATAAGCAAAGATACAGTAGGTGGGAGTATCGAAGGACCGGAGGATTTGAAAATGGCCATGCTGGCGTTAGCTGGATGCTGCCGATACTAAAATACATCATTCATTTCCACCATGACCCTGGTATTTCCCCCCACCCACTGGATGTATATTCTCCAATGGGACACATCCATAGCCAAGAGTCATCAATCATGCTCTCCAGTAATATTCTGGCTCTCCAACAACTTTGAGCTTCCAGGGCGATTATTTAGGCACTTAAGGAATGCACTGTTTTTCCCCCACTCCCTTTTTCTGGCAGCTAAAAAGACCAAAGGAGTATCTTTTTAGTTGACAACTTGGTTTCTGCACAAGCCAGAGTGAAAACGAAGCTGGTTAAAAGGAAATGTGATCTGATCTTGGTGCTCTTTGAGCTTGGTTGTTTCCTTGCAGATGTTTCATTACCCAACAAGGGAACATAATCAATGCTAGTAGGGAGTGGGGATTATGGAGTGGAGGAGGAGGACAATTGTGGGGTCCTTGGTGCTCTCTGAGCTTTTCTCTAAGACGTTTCATGACCCAACTAGATTTTACTGACTGTTTCCTAGTATGATTTGATTGCTTATTGTACCCTATGACTATTATTAAGTGTTTGTACCTTATGATTCTTGTACTCTTGACGAACGTATCTTTTCTTTTATGGACACTGAGAGCATTTGCACCAAGACAAATTCCTTGTGTGCCCAACCACACTTGGCCAATAAAGAATTCATTCATTCTTTCTTTCTTTCTTTCTTTCTTTCTTTCTTTCTTTCTTTCTTTCTTTCTT